TAAAAAATGAGAGTTTTCACGTGTTGTCTTTCACAAAGCCTAAAAGTTTCAAAAGTATATGCTGGGATAATACCAGAAATATTATTGCCGTGATTTTTTATTGATAAAAAAATGGGATTTACAACGAAAATTCCAAACATAAATACCACTAAAAGATCTACTGACACTGAATTAAGCAGCGTGCACGTATATACCATTACAATCGAAAATTAATTGTTAAAATATTTTTCCAGGAAGTATCAAAGAACTAAGCATATAGTTTGGTATGCATTCCTTTTTTTCACATCTCTGGATTTTGTTTTATCTATTGAAATTGTAATCCACACATACTATTCCTCACGTTTAAGACTTTCATAGGAATGATAAATAACATGTTAAGAAGATATACAAAAGTAAGATAATCAGAATCCAAAAAAAGACGTTTAAAGATTATGTAAACATTGATAAGCGTATCTCCCTAGCTACAAAGGTACGCCAGGTATTTGTTATCAAAGTAATACAGTTACTGACTGGGTTGAGGTAAGAAAAAAATTATACTTACAAAGAAAAAATGCAAATAAAAATTTTACACTGGACTAAAAAATAATTATCAATAGAAATACAAACCGGAACCACGTGTTTAGATAATAATCGGTGTTTTTTATCAACAAAATTTGTTCTGTATACTATCTGGATTTCGACATAAATGCAATCCATCAATACCATCAAATCAAAATCTAAATATCCTTTCGGTTTTTGATGTTGGCTTTATCATATTAATGTTCACATGAACGTTCTTTTTTGTCTAAGGGTAATAATGGGGTCGCTCCAAAAGTCAAATGTATGTGTGTTAACCCAAATAGATTAAAACTCAAAAAGTGACTTTGGTATCGAAATATTGTTTCTCTTACGGATGTAGGGCCAACACTTGGGGTTCAATTGGCTGTTCGGGATGTATACAAAAAATTAATGCAGTCACGTACAGGAGATAGTGTACTCCCGTGTTTGGATATGGTTACATTTTCTTTGCTTAAAAAACGCCTGTAAGCAGGGCAAATTAATATGAATGATTGAGGGACACAAAAAACTCCGCTTTATATTTATATGCGTTTGTTCCAAGTCAGGAACCTTGTCGGTTTTTTTGTTTTTTAAAACAAACTGTAATCGTGTTTAAAAAAAAGGGTTAAAAGGTTTTATGTCTGAAAACCATCGAGAAGATCATTTAATTAGTAGTTGTTTTTTTTTTACTTTTTGTAATTGTAACGAATTAATACAGTATTTTTTGTTTATGCTGTTTATAGATCCGAATTTCAAATATTGATATTCGATACAACAACAGAATCTATTTTACGGCGCACAATACAATAGTATACGACATAAATGGATATGCAAATTTGAAGTAAACCTTTACGAGTAATGGAATCTAAAAAGAACGATGACAAGAAACAAACGAAGTTGGAAACATATACTACAACTCAGAAGGTTACAAAAACTGCTGTCTTAGTCTTCACATGGCTAACTATAGTAAGTAGTTCTGCTGTCTCAGTCTTTACATGGCTTACTATAGTAAGTAGTTCTGTAAGCTGTCTAAGTCTTTCAATGGCTAACTATAGTAAGTAGTTCTGTAAGCTTTCTAAGTCTTTACATGGCTAACTTTAGTAAGTAGTTCTGTAAGCTGTCTATTATAAGTCTTTACATGGCTAACTATTGTAAGTAGTTCTGTAAGCTGTCTTAGTCTTTACATGGCAAACTATAGTAAGTAGTTCTGTAGTTATAAGTTGTAAATCATCTGCCGCTCTAGCTAAGTTTTTGAAAAGTCAATATTTTAATTGATACAAATACATGCTGATTTTGTGGGGAAAAATCAGTCAAAATGTAAATAAGACTATTTGTAAGAAGTTTGATTAAAATTAAAAACCACTTTTGATATCAAGTTTTAAGTTTAGAACGTATGCATAAGAAGTATTATGTGTAGAGATCAAGTAATTTTCAGACCATCTTAAGATATAGATTTATATAATCAAATGTTAGAACCATTGTGCTTTCTAATTGCATTTATTGGTGCCGAAGAATTTATTGCTGCAATTTGTGCGAACAATATTCCAGTAATATTTAAGAAACAAACAAAAATCACAAAAAAAACTTTTGGGATCATGGGAGGAGTAATGTGAAAAAAAAATGCCACAAAAAAGTCTTGCATGCAGCTACAAACGATTCTTGAACGAAGAAAAACATTCCGGGTTTTATGTTGATTTGCCGACGGTATTTTATTTTTTTTTTATATTTAACTATAATTTCATTGTTAATTGTCGAAAAAGACGAGGAATTATTATAGATATATATAAATACGGATATAAGGTATGATTGGATAATGATGTGAAGAATTACAGGTCATCGTATATTTTTGTACGACCTTCAACAATGAACAAACACAATATCGTATTATAAGCAAGCTACATGTATAATTGTGAATGGCGACAGGATAACAAAATATGAAACGATTCGAAAGAGAAAAAACGACCTGATTTATACTCCAGCAAAGAACAAAAAACAAATATGGCAGGCAACAACCATTGACAGCCACTGCATTACAGGTTTCTGGTTTGTGACAGATACATACAGAATGTGGCGGGGTTTAACATGTTTGTGGTCGCTGAATCATACCTTTAAATGTGACAGTGATGTGACAACACAAGATAAGAACAAACTGTTAAAATCGTTGGAAAGGGCGTGATCGGTACAAACATAATTTACTGAAAGGCAAAAATACAAAGTACGGATCTAAGAGTACTCGCAGTTACTGAAAGACTTTATTTCATTAATAAAATCATTGCAATATACTAACTGCCCAAGTGTTCTTCTGGTAACGTGCTCGATCCAATAATATATTACACCATATGTCAGGTTGACCCTTAACAAAGTTTTTAAGGGTATCAAACAATAATTTTCATTTATTTTCAGGGTTTGTTCAATGAAATCACGGGACCAACTCAAAAAGATTTAATTATAAAAACAAATTCAGACTACGAGCTGGTATCCAGAGCTATATCTGGCCAAAGTGTTGGGTATTTTATTGGGGCAATCATTGGTGGGCCTCTCATAGACAAATATGAAAAATGGTGTGATGTAACGATAGCCATTTGCCTAGATTGTGCGGCAGTCGCCATATTTGCTGTACCATACGCTACAAACATTAACATCTTATGGGTTTTACTCGCTGTTGCAGCTTCGTTTGAAGGCGTTGTAAACATAGGTAAGATTAAAGTATATGTCATGTTTTGTTGTATTGCAACCGGGTCATAATATAACATAGTTTGACATAGTTGTTTGTTTTTATAGTGATTAAGTTTATAACACATTGTTGACTGCTGTACCCCAATTTTTGACTTTTTTACCTATAATTACTGTTTGTTTTGCTCACACATTGTTGTCAATGTAATGGAATTTTATGCGACTGTCATACAAATGAGAGGTTTAGCTAGCTATTAAACCAGGTTTAATCCACCATTTTCTACATAAAGAAATGCCTGTACCCTGTCAGTAATATGACAGTTGTTTTTCATTCATTTGATGTGTTTGAACTTTGATTTTGCCATTTGTTAAGGAACTTTCCGTTTTGAATTTTCCTTGGAGTTTGGTATTTTTGTTATTTTACTTTTTATGTCCCAGATTACAAAAGACACTATAAGAAACAACAAATAAAATAAAATATAATAAATATCGCGGTTAAGATATAATTGAAAATTTAGTATTTGAGCAAAATTGATCCACTCGAATTACTGTGATTTTGTGCACTGTTAAACTTATAATGTACTTTGTCAGCATGCATGTTAAAGGGACATTAACTGTCAAATTCATGTTCACCGATTTGACTCAAATTCTCATATTTGATTTATAACATACTATAACGTATATTCAAATTATAAAAAGTCTTAAATAAACAATTTACGATGCATGAACTCGAAAATATGATCAGCATTTCGTGTTCATTTTAGTCTACACGCCATATAATTAACCATCCGGGTGACATCCGAAGATTGCCGATGATCATATAACCCGATATAAACATAAATATAGTTATAAATAGATAGCGAACACGTGCTATTGGATTTTCTAGGTCTGTTTGAATTCATATTATAGGTTAAAAAACTATGTTAATCATCGTTTTTACCTGTATAAGAATTTGTTTTTGCGGATCGTATCAATTAACCAAATGGTTTATCCTTGTTTCACTTTAAATATTGACATTCTTTTCCTTTTAATAGCTGAACACGCCTAGTTTATGCGTAACCCATCTCTAGCTAAGTGTTTAAATTGAAGGTCACATGAATACGGATTCAATTAGATCTAATTATTCACTTGCAAGTGAATAATTCATCAGCGATGTTTCTTAGCTTATTTTTACAAAATTGAACCAAACTGGCTGCTAAAAGCGAATTATTATTTCACTATTTCACTTTCATTAATGATTGAACAAAACAAATCATACTTCAATTGTTTTTATATCTCGTAGCTAATGCCCCTTTAAGTAATCGAATAGGATTCGTATTTATATCTCATTTCTGGTTGTCATACTGATTATTTTTCCAATAATTGATTGGGGGACGTGAACTTCAATCGATCTTATAAAATAAAGTAGATGTGGAGTACATGGTAGTGGGACAAAAACTTGAAAAATGACCGATATAGCCAACAAGATTATATAAGGATTTATTTACCTCTGCCACAATATTATAAAGGTTGTCTCGAGCGCATACCTAAAACTTTAAACTGTGGTGTATTTAATATGACATAATTTTTCTTCAATGAATTGAGATCAGGAATAAAACACAAATGTACTAAAATTATAAATCAAATCGTTCCTTACTGACTAATGTATTATATGTTGTATTACAAAAAAAAAACAAAAACAAATACTAAGACTGTTATCAAAGGAAATTCTTGTTATAAGATGACTATGATATTCCGCTACATCAATGAAACACATATCTTATGTTTGTCATATTTTTGCAGTCGGACAGAGAGTTCTCATACAGCTATGGGACAAAAAAGCAACTGGACCTTTACACCTTCTGCACTTCGGGTTTGGAATGGGATCAGTCCTCGCTCCGCAAATAGCAAATCCATTCCTGGCAGTGTTGGCGCCGTCACTTGAAAATGTCACTTCAACTGTAATGCCAAATATATCTCTCGTACAAAATATTTTGGTAACATCGATACAAAACACATCACCCTTTCCGCGTACAAATAGTACTAATAAAAATACTACAATGGAATATCTAAAAGAATCCAAGATAGAGACAGCATATTTGATTGTTGCAATCGTCATAGCTTCCGTATCGATTGTGTATTATTTTTATCAGTTCTGTTCTCGGCATATAATTTTAACTCCAGAAAAACAAGTTGACGCCAAGGAGAGTAACTTTCGGAAAGTTGTAAGATTAGTCGATCCCGCAACATGTACAGATGGTGATAGATGGTTTGGTATTCAAATTTTCATTGTGTTATTTTTGTGTTTCTTTAATATAGGCGGTGGTGACGCTTTGTATGGAAAGTTTATAAGAAGTTATTCCATAGACAAACATAAATTTTCAGGCGATGACGCATCCCTCATAAATACCGTATACTGGATAAGTTTTGCGGTCGGTCGATTTATTGGTATATTTACCGGACGGTTCATACCAATTCGTATCTTACTTCCGGTTGAAGTGTGTGGAACTTTAGTTACAGGAATTCTGTTAGAAATTTTTGCGCATGAAAACGACTTGGCATTATGGATTTTAACTATAATGATGGGATTATGTGTTGGGCCAATATTTCCTTCTGGCTTAGGTTGGGCTAATGCTCACCTTGAGGTCACTGGAGTAGCCATAACGTTTATTGTTATGGGTATGGCTTTGGGTGCCATGTCATACCTTTGGGTAATTGGATATCTCTATCAGCATCATGGTTATGACATGTTTTTTCATCAAATGACATTTTATGGGGCAATTGTTCTTTTCTTTACAATTTTAATGACAATTATAGTGAAAATGCATAGAGGGAAATTTGAAAAGAGAGAAAAAGATATGCAAATCGAACATGAAAAGTCAGAAACGAAAGTATATGTGACAACAAGTGTTACAAATTTGATACCAGACTTCAAAGGCGTAACATCTAATGAACTCAATGGATACTATAATGGTCTCGATTCTGATATAATAGAAGACACAAGACTTTAATCCACTCATATCTTTAAATTTATCCAAAGAATTGCATAGAAGAGTTATACATATAAAGTCATGCAGAATGATTATTATGGAACGCCATAGCTGTCTTATGTGTCTTTTTTATTGCTTTTCTATTATACGAAGGTGCTTTTCTATTATACGATGGTGGTTTTCTATTATACGAAGGTGCTTTTCTATTATACGAAGGTGCTTTTCTATTATACGATGGTGGTTTTCTATTATACGAAGGTGCTTTTCTATTATACGAAGGTAGTTTTCTATTATACGAAGGTGCTTTTCTATTATACGATGGTGGTTTTCTATTATACGAAGGTGGTTTTCTATTATACGAAGGTGCTTTTCTTTTATACGATGGTGGTTTTCTATTATACGAAGGTGGTTTTCTATTATACGAAGATGCTTTTCTATTATACGATGGTGCTTTTCTATTATACGATGGTGCTTTTCTATTATACGATGGTGCTTTTTTATTATAATAAGGTGCTTTTTTATTATGTGATGGTGGTTTCCGTGATTAACCGGAAGCGTGGCGTGTATTTGAATGTCATAGCTGTCTTATGTGTCTTTTTTATTGCTTTTCTATTATACGAAGGTGCTTTTCTATTATACGATGGTGGTTTTCTATTATACGAATGTGCTTTTCTATTATACGAAGGTGCTTTTCTATTATACGATTGTGGTTTTCTATTATACGAAGGTGCTTTTCTATTATACGAAGGTAGTTTTCTATTATACGAAGGTGCTTTTCTATTATACGATGGTGGTTTTCTATTATACGAAGGTGGTTTTCTATTATACGAAGGTGCTTTTCTTTTATACGATGGTGGTTTTCTATTATACGAAGGTGGTTTTCTATTATACGATGGTGCTTTTCTATTATACGATGGTGCTTTTCTATTATACGATGGTGCTTTTTTATTATAATAAGGTGCTTTTTTATTATGTGATGGTGGTTTCCGTGATTAACCGGAAGCGTGGCGTGTATTTGAATGTCACCGAACCAACATGGCGGCCATGGCTGTGAATACTAAAATGTTAAACGTTTTACAGAAATTAAACTTGCAGCAAGCATTTCTAAACTTTGAGAGAGAGAAAATCACTCCAGACGTTGTATGTAGGCTTTCGACACATGAAATTGAAATATTAGGTGTATCTAGTAGGGCAGATATGATGAAGTTAAGAACTGAATGTGTAAAATATGGAACGTCTGCCCCTAATAAAATAAACTCTGAATGCGGCCCTCCGAAATTTGATATTCCAAAGTCTGTTCTTGAAAATGGATTTAAAATATCCGACATTTCTAAATTGTTGTCCGTGTCTGAAAGCACCATTTACCGAAGAATGTCACAGTTTGGATTAAGCAAAATGAATTTTACACAAATTGATGACAGTGATTTAGACTTGACACTTGGACAAATAATGAAAGAGTTTCCATTGTGTGGCGAAACACTATTGCAACAGATGCTTCTATTAAAAGGCATAAGAGTACAGAGATGGAGACTAGGGAGTGTATGCATCGATTAGATACCGCCGGTGTACAGGCGAGACGTACTGGTAGGCTTAATAGGCGTGTTTACAATCTAATTGGTCCAAATCACCTCTGGCACATAGATACAAATCATAAACTTGTCCGGTGGAGATTTGTTATTGTAGGTGGCATTGACGGGTTTAGTCGATTGATAACATTTTTAAAATGTACCGACAACAACACATCAAGAACAGTTTTGGATCGTTTCTTCTCCGGTGATGCAAAGTATGGGATACCCAATAAAGTTAGGTCTGACAAAGGATTGGAAAATGTTTCTGTGGCAAACTACATGTTGATTCAAAAAGGCCCAACAGTATGGTAACGGGAAAAAGCACTCATAATCAACGGATTGAGAGACTATGGAGAGATGTGTATGAAGGTGTGCTTAGTTACTTTTACAACTTATTTTATTTCATGGAAGATGAAGGTTATCTAGACCCACTAAAACTGACAAACTTAGCTGCTCTCCACTTTGTTTTCATGGACGAACTAAACAGGAAGCTTCAATTTTTGGCAGAGGCATGGGCTGGTCATAGACTACGCACTGTTAATTCATCTCCATTGAGCTTGTGGACTTCAGGACAACTTCAAAATGCCGTAGGAATTACCGAAGGAGAAGCAAATTTGCAAGATTATGGAATTGAAGGCTATGTGGATCAAAATGATGTAGAAGAGGGCGAGAGACTAATATTTGGACCCCTTGCACGCATGATAAGTGATCAATGCAGGCTGGATTCAACTCGACAATTGATAAGAAGCAATACTAACTTTGGAATAGATTATTATCTTGAATGTTTGGAAGTCATTGAAAGAAATAACTAAACTGGTTATTAAAACTTATTTGTAATTTACTAAATTTCCTTCATATCTTGAACGTAAATGAATAACTGCATAACTTCTTTATATACTTAATCTTATAAAACCCCATGACTTTTCAACAACTTCAAGCTTTACAGTGGTATATTGGTTATATGTAACTGTATTATTTTGTGTAGAGGTAGTACATGTACAATGTACAGATCTGTATATCCTCTTACTATTTTAGTATTTATTATAAACAAATTTTCTAACTTATATGGACGCTGAGTTGGCAATTGTATTGTGCAAGTCTTTTTGCTGCGCGTCTTTCGAATCTTGATAGGAAGTCGAGTAGATTGGGGGGGAAAGGTTAGTGTACCCATAAACATGGTTCAACCCCACCACTCTGCCAAGTTTTGACAGAGTGCCTGTACCAAGTCGGGACTTCTCTCTACCTTCTGTACATTTTCCTTTTTGTGTTGTCGCTGTATGTCTCTATTTTTGATGTTTTATATCGAATTATTGCCATTCCTTGTTTTATCTTTATTTTTTATATATAAAGGTTGGCTACATGGTTCAGCTAAATGAAATTCTTCGATAATGCTTTAAATGAAAACTTATGTAACTGTGACTTTTACGTGCATTTAAAGAATTTGGCCGATAATGAACAAATATTTAAATGTTTGTGTTTGAACTGAAAATCATTAATTGTGTCCTGAATATTAAGTCATTGGTCTTACAATTTGCCAAATTAAAAAGTACTTGAACCAGAGACATATAATACTAGAGATAAGCAACTTTGTGAAATCTCGAGAAATATCGCAGCCACATGCTTTGATAAGAATATAACATGTATAAGAGTCATATATAGAGAAAGAAAGTAGTTAAGTTTTAAGAAATATTCCTTAATTTTTCAAAAACTTAACAAGATATCTAAATATACCGATCACAGAAGTTGTAAAAGAAGTATCAAAAATCAACACATGCCCTCAATACTTTGTTATTTAGTAAGTTTCAAAATATTGTCATGATAATATGAAAACTTCATTTTGTCATAAAATGTTCCAGACCGAAATCTCTTCAATTTTCTATTGTATAATATTCAGAGTTTCCAATCTCTTGTTTTATATGTCTCCACTTCAACTAACTATAATCGGTTCGGTTTAGACAGGTTTTACTGTGTCACAAGTATTGCGGGAGTACACAAGTCCATTGATTTTAAAAAAAAATGTGTCGGCAAGCTTTAGCGAACAGGTACTTTTCGAAACTGTCCGAGGTACTAGTATGTAGCTGAATGTACTTATTTTTACTATTAGACTTGGGTTAAAACCATTTTTGATGTAATGAAATCAATGCTAATATTTGCGAAAATGCTTTCCAGTGATTAAATTTGGCTATATAGGAGTATCACCTATCTTGAACTTGAGCTAAATTTCATTTCAAGGCATCTTCTACCGTTCACCCACTAAGAACAGTCTCCAACTTGTGTGGTGATGCTCATCTACAGATAACGCAGAGGTGTTTATCTAATTTAAAAGTTTTTTTTAGTAGTATCACTGTTGAGGGCCAAATGCGAGAAATTTTCTAAGAGGGTCTGAGGGGCATGTCCCCCCCCCCCCCCAGATACCTTTTTAAAACTTAGAGTCATGGTATGAAGATATCAAACACAGAAAATTCAAATTAAATAGATTTTTTTCTACTGAAATTCCTCCAGTCAGGTTTACTAAAATAAATAAACTGTTATCATAGAGATATGTCTCCCTTATTGGTAATTTTTATAATGCATATGTTGAAATTAAAATAGCAACACTTTAACATGCAAGTTTTGCAAATATTCAAAGTCAATGAACCATGGCTGAAGGTACATGGCTAAACAATCTCCATGGAAATGAGATGTGCCAATGCTAATACCAAATACCATTGACTTATCATAATTCCCTTTAAACAAAATTAAACACAAACTAATACATGTAAACTAAGCAAAATTTCAAAGTCAATAAACCATAACTGAGGGAGCAAGGTCAAATAATCTTTGTGGTAATGAGGTGAACAAATGTTATGACAACTGCATACCAAATATCATTGACCTACCACTAGTGGTTCCCGATAAACCAACCTAATCACAAACTAATGCATGAAAACTAAGCAAAAGTTTAAGTCAATAGACCATGACTGAGGGGCGGGGCCAAATAATCTCCATGGAAATGACATATGCCAATGCTTATACAACTGCATATCAATTGTCATTAACTTACCACTAGTGGTTCCCCATAAACTGACCTAATCACAAACAAATACATTGAAATTAAGCAAAAAATTCAAAGTCAATAGACCATGAATGAGGGGCGGGGCCAAATAATCTCCATGGAAATGGCATATGCCAATGCGTATACAACTGTATACCTATTATCATTAACTTACCATTAGTGGTTCCCCATAAACTGACCTAATCACAAACTAATACATGAGAAGAGTGCACACACTGAAATGTCTCGCCTTCTTTACTAAACATTGATAATATGTTGATAGTCCTAAATAGAAAGCCTAACTATCACATAAACATGAGTATAAAAATCAGGTCAAGGTAATATAAACCAAACAAGAAATACATGTACACCTTACAATTATTCCATACACTAAATATAGTTGACCTATTGCTTATAGT